TTTTGTAGTACAAAGTACAGTACACGTTTTACCTATTTTATCCAAATTTGAACATTTTTGTTTTGGGCAGGTATCTTTTCATGTCGGGCAGGTAACATTTGTTGTCACCTGCCTGACAGGGCAGGTAAAAAAAAAAAATCTTGTCGAACCCTGGTTTAAAGAGAGAGATTTTATGTGATAAACGTGGTTGAAGTTTATTCAGATGTTTTGCTCCTTTTTTAAATAATAGAAATTAGAATCAAGTGTTGTGTGGCTGTGTGAGTGTTTACTGCTTTCTTGGCTTCCCAAACAGTTTGAGTGTATTTTTCTTCAGTTTTTCCCACAGGCTGTATATTGAAGCACTACATCTAGTTGTTTAAAYCCTTTACAATCCTTCTGTTTTGTTTTTTACTCAGATGCGTGGTTCTGTCAGATCCCCTGAAGGACTCGTCTCGGTCCCTGGAGTCCTGGAACTCTCTGCTTCTGAAGCTGCGGACCCTCCTCCTCATGTCCTTCACCAAGAACCTGGGCCGGTTTGAAGACGACATGCGAACGCTCCGAGAGAAACGGACCCAGCCCGGCTGGAGCTTCTGTGATTATTTCATGGTCCAGGTACCCAGAATTGACAGTGGATTTTTTCAAATGCATATTTTAAGATCTTCCTGTTTGTAGCCTCGAGTAGAGGAGAGGCTGAAGAGAAAAACCTTTTTTGTTTTACTACATGTTTCCATTGTGTAGGTTTCTTTCAGGATAATTAGTGAAATTGTTTGCAGTTATGATTGCACTTCAGTTTTGAATGTTTGTGTGACTGTGCAGGAGGAGCTGGCCTTTGTCTTTGAGATGTTGCAGCAGTTTGAAGATGCTTTGGTCCAGTACGATGAACTAGATGCTCTTTTTACTCAGTACGTCCTGAACTTCGGAGCTGGAGGTATGCTCACTGTTTTCTCCCTGTTAAAAAATATTGTTTCATCATAACCAGATGTTTGTTGTATTTTCGAGTTCTGACCAGTTCATTTCCACCCACAGATACCGCTAACTGGCTCGGCTCGTTCTGCGCTCCAGTGCGTAACTGGAACGGGTTGCTTCTCCGGCGGCCCATCGATATGGAAAAGAGAGACAGTATCCAGCGTGGAGAGGCCAATCTGTTGGACCTGAGGAGCTACCTGTTTTCTCGCCAGTGCACTTTACTCATCTTCCTGCAGAGACCGTGGGAGGTCACTCAGAGAGCCTTAGAGCTGCTCCACAACTGTGTCCAGGAGCTACGTCTGCTGGAGGTAAACCCACACCTACAGTTCCTGTTTTTTATTTTATCAGGGCTCCCGCGGAGCCTTAAAATGTCTTAAAAGGCAATRAATTCATCAATCCAGAATTAAAGACTTAATTAGYCTTTAAATGTCTTAAATCAATCTGTGGGAGGTCTTTAAAGTGTTAACATTGTAAGTAGGATGATTGTAATTCTTCTCAAATATTAAAATAATTACCGTATTTATTCAAGTATAATACATAAAATTGAATCCATAAAATCATCCATAAAGTTGGGGGGTAGTACTATACTCTGGTAAATATTTTTACTTATGTATTTTAACTGAAATATCGGCTTCATTCACAAAATGCCTGAGTCCAGAAATGAGACCACGTCGTAAAAAGCAGTTGAAGCAAGCTTACCTCTGACACTCCTCTGTGCTTCAGAGTGAGATAATAACAGATCCAGGCAGGAGACATGATGTGAAAAAAGGGGGGAAAAGTATTCCTGCACCTTAGTAATGATAACAAACTAATGACATTAGCATGTGACTGAGCCGCTCCTTGAACAACAACAAACACATGTTTGTCTGTAATGGCTGCCGTCTACCGGTGTTCTGAAAAAGTTTGTTTCCCTGAAAAAAACGTTTCCCCACCAGAGGGGGCGCTCGCGAGTAGGAAGTAATCTGCTTTCCCCCACAAGATGGCCCAAATGTCATGTGAAGTCTCTGACTTTTGTGTTGGCGCCTCCTGGTGGACTATGTGTAAAATACCAGAATTCATATGATGCTGCTACAGCTGATACAGTATATATTTGTTGTCAAAATACCTTTTAGTACATATATTGTTAAAATAAAATGAACAGTCCAATGATCATTTTACTGATATGTATATAGACTGTAAAGGCTGAAAAATATTGAAGTCTGTATGAAATTGGAGGTAGTTTGAGGATTAAATTTTTTATGCTTTTTAAGCTCAAAAAAAGAGGGGGGCGGGTCGTATTATACATGAGATCGTATTATACATGAATAAATACCGTAGTAATGTTTATATTTTTAAATAATTTACCAAATGCCTCTCGCAATTATCGTATTTATTCAAGTATAATAAGTAAAATTAAATCCATAATATCATTCATAAAGTTGGGGGGTAGTACTATACTCGGATAAATATTTTTACTTATGTATTTTAACTGAAATTTCGGCTTCATTCACAAAATGCTTGAATCCGGAAATGAAACTACGTCATAAAAAAGCAGTTGAAGCAAGCTTACCTCTGACACTCCTCCGTGCTTCAGAGCGAGATAATAACAGATCCAGGCAGGAGACATGATGTGAAAAATAAAGGAAAAAAAGGCAGTCCTGCACCTTAGTAATGAAAACAAACTAATGACATTAATGTGCAACCTGGCCGCTCCTCGAACAACAACAAACACATGTTCGTCTGTAATGGCTGCCATCTACCGGTGTTCTGTAAAAGTTGGTCTACCTGAAAAAAGTTTCCCCACCAGAGGGGGCGCTTGCGAGACACAGAGCATGAGATTGTTGTTGAGTGGGATTCTGATGCCTTTATTACAGAGGAGGAATACCAGAAACTTCTAATGATACTGATGATGGTGAGCCTGATTTTGAAGGCTTTGATTCAGCTTCAGCCACACTTGTTGGAGCCACATAGCTCTGTCTGTTTGTTATATCACACCAGTTAACAAATGAGCAGCTTTTGTTGTAGTTATACATTTGTTGTTGTGTACCTTTTAGTACATATGTTGTTAAAATAAAATTAAAAACTGATACAACAGTCAAATGATAATTACTGATTTATAAAGACTGCAAAGGCTGAAAAATCCTGAAGTCCATATGAAATTAGAGGTAGTATGAGAATTAAATTTTTAAATGCTTTTTAAACTAAAAATAGGGGGGGTCATTTTATACATGAGATCGTATTATACATGAATAAATACGGTAGTTGTTTTGGGTTAAAATAAACATTTGGCTAAAATTGTTGCTGTTTTTTACATTTGTGTTTATTGTGAAGTTAGTCTTACATTTCATTTCAAGTGGTATTAAAAAGTCTTAAGTTTTTTATTTAACTTGCCTTAAGCTGTAGGCACCTTGTCTATGCAACATATTGTGTACTCATCTTCAAATGTTGGTTCTYTCTCGTGGAGGTGTCTGTTGTGGACGGGGCTCTGGACTGTTGGGTTTTTCTCAGCTGCTTGGAGGTTCTGCACAGGATCGAGGGCTGCTGCGATCAGGCTCAGCTAGCTGCTAACTGCTCCCATACTGTCGGACTCTGGGCCTATGCTACAGACAAGGTACATGAAGATGCTTCGTGGCTTTGATTATTTGTGGATTTTCCTCCTATAATAATAATATTATTATGATTTATACAAATATATTCTGTTTAGTATCATTTTTTAAATCAGAAGGACTTTGTAGGGTCTAAATGAAAAGTCCAGAGATAATTGTAATAATCAGAACAGTAAATAAATAAATTGTACAACATTTCTTTCTGGATCAGCTTTTCTCAGTTAATTTCTTTCTTTCTTCTCTGTTTAATTCAGCTGAAGTCTTTAGGGGACCTCTGTGGCCTGGTGTCAGAGAAGGTCCCAACATCTGAGGACCTGAACAGGACTGTGGATCTGCTGGCAGGACTCGGGGATGAGAGGCCTGAAACTGGTAAGAAAAACCAGTATAAAACTGCTCACAGCAATCGGGAAAGTAAAAATACTTTTACATACACTTTAAGACATGAACTGGTTCCACGAAGCCAAGTTGAGTAAATTGATTTAAATTTACTCAACTCTGTTAGTGCAACCAGTTGACATCACTTTAAGTTAATTCAACACTACATTTTTTAGAGAGCATAAACAACTCTTTTCATGAGTCCGATCATATTTAACGTGCAACTTGTGAAATTTTTGAGTAAAGAAGTAAAAGTATGATTTTTATGTTTTGAATGTGACGAAATAAAAGTAAATATCACAAAAAAAAGTACTTGGCAAAATTTCAAAACCTCAAAATTACTTGGGTACTCAAAATATTTCCAGACATCAATTTAAATG